ATCGTGAAACTGCACGTGAATAAAGTTCAAAACTTTCGAGCACTATCGCGAAATAAAACGAGAAATAAGATAGCATGCAGAAACCTGGAAATGTCAAATTTCAAATTTCAGATGAGTTTCTTTGTGCAGAAATACGCAGTCATATTTTTCACCAGAATTTTCCCAGAAATACATATCACAGACGTTAACGCGTCACTCTGAGTTTAAAACGCAAGGTTGAAGGATGATATAAAGTTAAGGATAGGGAGTTGCACATTTCACTCTCGTAAAACTTCCAACAGCGAGTTTTCCCCGAGCCATATGAGGAGCAAAATTTCGAGATGCCAGGAAAAATCGAGGGGTGAAAAGGCTTCTGTGGCAGTCGTCCGAAAGTTCCCGAGCTACAAAAAAAGCTAACCAAACACGTAATTTTTTTCCCCATCGAGCGACAAATATTCTGGCCAGTGGTATTGGTGTTTATTTTCTCAAGTGTCCAGAGGGTTCGAAGGTAGGGCGCCGTAAAACTGATATATATCACTTGAAACAGAAGCGACAATCGTCCAAACAACCCCCTGGCGAAGCAAATACTGCTGTACGAGAAAATATATACGATAACACTGTGAGAAAGAAAATAAAAATTAAGTTGAAATGGCACTTGGCGTCGGGACGTATTGTTGAGAGGGGTTACCGGGTCGTACATACATGGATATATAGATGAAAAAGAGGGAAGAAAAGGCTGAGAAAGTTTCAAGGGGACTTTTACCGCGTGAATTCTCGAGAGTCGGAAGTGAAGAGGAAGGGGAGAGGCCATACGACCTCCCCCCATCGTCGGATAGACCAGGGGAAGAAGTGGATGTAGGCGTTGGAGGGGGACAAAAACAGTGGGGAAAAAAAAGACAGGATAATTCAAGTAATGGTCCGTCCTGGGGAGGCTGGAGGCACTGCTGCAGAGGGAGTGAGATCGAAACCAAAAGGAAAGGGACACAGGACGGAGGGTGTGAGGTATAACCACAGAGAAAAGGGTCTCAACCGCTTGTACGATCGAGATTGTAGTGGCCAGGATCTTATGGAGTCCGACTGTGGGAGCAGATGCCAAGTGTTCTCTTGTTATCTCCCTCGAATTATTATTCTCCACCTCCTTCCATTGAAAACAAAATTTTCCAACCTCACAAATGACGTGAGAGCCACGAGAAAGAAACCATTAATAAGCTCTCATACTTCAGGAGTGTTATGCCCCAAAGTAATATTATAATATTGAGCAATAATTTATTTCAAAGAGTTCAATTTACTTCACTCATTGTTTTACCAAATCAGCCTTCATTTGCAATACTGTTCACCACTGTCGTAACGTGACACGCTTAATTATTATATAAGCTGGACTCGCGAATATTCGGGGGTCCAGTCGTCAACGTAAACCAAGCCAAATACTTATTTTGTATCATCTTGTAATCTCCTCATATTCACCCCCACCGTACGGAGATTTATCTCCAGGAAGCAGAGCCCAGGGATTCACCCCCAACAGGAGTATCCAGCAAAATGTTTCTCAACGAAATTTTCGCAAGACCTCTTATTTATGGGACAAGGTGAAAAGCATTGTCAGGGAGAAGCCATTTTCCCGAACGTGACGATGAAGAAGCCGTATAAATAGAAGCCCCATATCCTATGGGTACTTTCTTCCCTGTCATACGGCCAATTCAACACTCAGTGGAAGGTCCTGCCTTTCCCTTAAACTTTTCTGTACGTGAAATCGAGATCGTCCGGGATGAAGCACCTTGGACGCTTCTTCTGATATACCTCGGCCCATTCATCATAACCTTCCCTGCATCCCGCAACCTTATCGTCTGGCCCCTCAGGAGCCTCCAAGATGCTTGAGACGCATCGGTTACCGCACAGAGAATAGCATCATATTTCTCATGTGCAGCATCCGCGTTATGCGCGACATTTAATTTCTCAAGGGGTTGGAAGTCTATCTCGAATAACGCGCAATACCCCATCACATTACCATCAAACGTTCGTTGGAGGTGTGAATAAGTCATTTGATAATTGGCTGACAATACGTCAAATGGGTCATCCTGACTCGCCGAACGAGCCTCAGGATGCCCTCAGAATTTGCGTCCATCTGTTTGGTCGATGGCGTCGCCAAGTCGAGCAATTCCCTCGTCTATCATGTTTGTACGTCATACGTCCGATGTTTCCCTTCGTTTCGCCCCGTTGCCTCTGTACCGGTGCTGAGGGAATCATATTGATCTGTGTTGTGGGTACATGCTTTGTGAACATACTGAGTACATCTTGGTGGATGCCCCGCAGCTAGGATTTGTGTGTCAACATATCTGGCAGAGATAACAACTATTGGGGGGGG